ATGTTCATTTTGCATGCCTCTTTTTATTGTCTGCAGAACAGTGATTCACATGAGGTGTCGCGGACATGACATTTACACTTGTTTGCCGTGATGCACATACGCAACTAGGCATGGCTCGATCCGATACTCAGGATTAGTATCGGTCAATATTGGTCAAAATATCAGGATAGAACATCCAAACGACTCTATCCCGTATGATCCGATACCTAACCACAAATGCTTAACGTAACTTTGCATGACAAGCCGTAAACTGGAACACTATCTCCTCATCAAGGGTAGCCTAAGACATGCTTCGATTTGCATTATCGAATAACCAAGGTGCAGCATTGGTATCGATTGTGATCCCTGCACCCAACCAGGGTTTTGTGTTCATGGTGAACAGTGCCAGAATCTAGATGTACCTGGTACAACTTCAGCGCAGCAGAATTCAAAGAAACGCTTCTCTGCAGGATTCGAAAAAACTTCACTTTTCCCACACATTATGACTCACACTTGCGTGAAGCCCAGAGTTTTGTGTGTTAATGCAGAGCAACTCTAAAATACTGGTTCACCAAATGTCTAAAAAAAAAGGGCTGAGGAGTTCCCTAAGCTAGACTGGTGTAAGTCTAGACTTTAAAAATAAACAGTTGTCATCGCAATTCACATTTCCGCACCCATCGTTGTTCGTTGGAATTTACATATTTAGCTTGAACGATTCCCATGGCTTTGGAAAGCATCAGGGAACGTCATTTAAAATCCCATGGTCCCTTCCGACGGCATTGAAACCTAAAGACAAATGATCCTTCCTCCCTCTCCTCCTCCTCCTCCTCCTCCTCCTTGTCATCCTAATACAGAGCCAAGTCCTGCTCACTTTTAATGGGAAATAGAGCCTGTTTTATTATGCTGCAGTGCCTTGAAATGAATGTGGATAATAGAAATATTCACAGTGGTATTAATATCCTCTGAGCCCATCCTTTTTTTTTCTCCTTTTTTGCCTCCTTCATTCTCACTTTTCTCTCTCTCACAGGCTCCAAAGTACTTTGCCCTTGGCTACGCCTCATGCTAAATAGATTTATGAGAACATTTGTGTCATATTTCCTCTTTTCTTGGATTGTCAAGACAGATTGTCGGTGCGGTGCTGATTGAGTGGATCACCACACAGGCTTGGTTTTCCATTGTCAGCCAGCACATATTCATTTCTGGAGGATTAAAAAGTCAAACCGTCCAATGGCCTTTTGTGTGTCTGCAGGGTGTGGGGCTGATGATGAGGTCAAGGCTACAGAAATAATACATCCTGTGTCTTATTTCGACTATATATTTTCCGTCTCTGCCCGCATTAGACGCTGAGGAAAATGTCTGCTTCAAGGGCACGATTCCGAGGACTTTTTGACATTTGTTGATCATTTTCGTAATGGATGGGCTGCTGATCTTCAGGGTTTGGGTTTTAGTTTGGATTTAAGCTGGCTAGGGGGTTAAACGTTTACTGAAATCATTTGACCCTTTATTCAATGTTTACAAACTGCTCATTACACACTACATCCAAACAAATATTTAGTGATAATCTTTAAAAAAAAAAAATCACCAAATAGTGTCCATTCGGACATTTTCTCCTTTCATAATCTTTTTGTGGTTATAAGTACAGCCCGATTCAATGTTTACAAACTGCTCATTACACACTACATCCAAACAAATATTTAGTGATAATCTTTAAAAAAAATCACCAAATAGTGTCCACTTGGACATTTTCTCCTTTCGTAATCTTTACATGGTTATTAGTACATTGGAACCTCGAGGTACGAGCGTCTCGACATAGCAGTATTTCAAGATACGAGCAAGCTTTCAAGCTAATTTTTGCTTCAAAGATACGAGTAAAGATTTGAGATACGAACGCACTTACAGACGCCTACGCTAGGCGGCCAAGCACTCGGAGCGGCCCAAGCTGCCTCACTCGTTTACTTCACGTGTTCGGCGACTTCCGTAAGCATCGATTAGCAAAGAAAAACGCTTTCTTCATAATAGTGATGAGTCCTAAGAAAGCGAGTGGTAAGGATGGTAGTGAGTCAATAAATACAAGCGGGGTGCCCGCGTGACTGATCGAGCACGCATGTATTCTCAGGTGCCTTTTCTTGGCAGTTTTCTTAGTGGTTTCTTAGTGGTTAAAGGAATGGACTTGGGTCTCAAAGGTACCCTGTAACATGTATAAAGTTTGGACCATTTATTTCCATAACCGAAAAAACGACTGATTACGATTCAGCACGTGATGACTTTTAATATTTTTTCCTCTCACTGTTTTGCCTTTTTTTTCCCAATTTCCCATTTTTGTCCTTTTTTCTTTGGCTCATATATGTCTAATAACACCTATCCTTAATTGTATTTTGTCACATTTTGGCCTTACGATGCAATTTCAGCTTGCTGCTTTTTTTTTTTTTTCTTCTCAATATTCTCCAGTGACATCTATAACCTGGCCGACAACCTAATAATACAGGATGTAATCCACACCGATCCAAAAACAGCATCATCTTTGAACGCAACTCCAAAACCTGATTAAAAAAACGTCCATCTCCATCAACTTCCTCTTCCAGGATCACGGTTAAAAACAAAAAAAAAAAAACACCTGATTCAGAAATGAAACATGAAATACTCCAACAAGTGGTAAATTGGTATAAAAAGAACAAACAAGAACATTGCGTTTTTGTTGACTGAACAATTAATTGATGTAAATATGAATGAGTTTGATGTTATTTAGCCTTAGAGGAACAACAACAGAAGGAGGAAAGGAACATCACGCCAATGTCGACCGTTTAAAAACAAATTAACGCCCATTTTTGAATATATTTTGTGTATGTCCACAGAGTGAAATTGTAAGTCACTGACAAGCAGATGCTGCAAATGCAGGACACACACACACACACACACACACACGTGGGCAGTTCTAATGGAAACAGAAACTGAGTCAAATCAGTGCAAATAACATGACGGCAATTACATTTCGGTAAGTGAAGAGAAAATCATTGCAGTAAAAGCAGCCAATCAAGGCATGTGTGACAACTGTGTTTTTCCCACAGCAATTATCCAGGAGTGATTGCAGTTATTAATGACCTTAATTGTGGAACATCCAAATATTGTAGACGGCCGTTTGATTGCATCTGATTCCGCTCTGAATCTCTGTCACTGTGTCTTTAAGTCAAACCTCTTTTTTTTTTTTTTTTCCTTCCCACTAAAACACTTTTTGGCGCGGGAAATCCCTCTGTGAGTCAAAGCAGATTTTCCTCCCTAGCAACTGGAATAGAGACTAAGACTGGGGTATTTACAACCTGTTTTTTTTATCAGTCATTTTCTGACCAGTATTTGCTTGATGTTTCTCTTTAAATAGTACCTTGTCGTTCAATATTTTTCCTGTATTCTAGGCTTTTTCCAATAACAGTTACGGTAGATGTTGCGTGTCGCTGAACATCAACAACTTCCTGTTACCTATCTATACAAGTCCTTTCTGACTTAACCTGTTTGTTTTACCTAATTTCATTCAAACTTCTTGCACAAAATGATTCAAAAATCAAAGCAAATTCCCACAGTCTCAATAACCCTCAATAACTAACCCTCACTTACTCAAAAAAAGGGCCGTTTTTTCTTAGTTATCAACATCTTGAGCCCTCAACGTTGTCCTTTTCAGTGCCTGCTTTGGTCCCATCATGTAGCGGTTATCCTGCACAGCTGCCTTACACGGAGAACGTCCTGGGTTTGAGGCCCAGAGGAACCACATACTAAATAGCACCCCCCGTATGTCAACCCTGTGCGGGTCAAAGAGACGTTCCCCATTGTGAGAAAAATGAGGGATTAGATTTTTTCTAACACTTTGGTAACCACTGATCTATCATTATACACAAAGTTACCCATTTTGAAATACCACAGCAGTCTCAGTCCAGTTACTTCACCCTTCATTTAAGTGCCTTAAATGGGACTAGCCGTTATTACCCTAACGCGACGACAACATTTAATGGACAGAAAAAGAAAGGTTAACTTGTTCAAAAGTACGACCATTCATTTTTATTTTATAGCGATGTTTCCATCCTTTATATCTCAAGGCTGAAGTCACAAATCCTACTTTCTCCAACCAAAATCAAAATTCAATTTACAGAGGGAGGAAACAAGGCAAATAACACACTGGCTCCCGAGTCTTTTGTTTCCTCTTCATCCTTCAGTCTTGAATGAATGCAGATTTGTGTTTTATTTCCCCCCCCCACTAGCCTCTGTCAATCAACAGCTTTCTCCTTGAATAATTAATTCCCGTGAAATGACAAAGCCGATATAATTCCCCAAATTTGTCCATAAAGACATCTAAATATATCCGCGCGGCGTGGAGATGATTCAGAAGCACTTACACAGCGGCTGGCAGTTTCAGTCAAGTGCATAATGAGTTGAATTAGATTAAATAAGCAATTATGAGACTAACAAAGTAAATGAGCCTGCAGGGATTCCACCCAATGATTGAGAATAGAATTAAAGTGGAATTAGTTTATTGACAGGCTGAATGACAGCGTGGTCGGACAAACGGCTCTATTCCTGTCGCAAAAGAGACAAAGAAAAGCTGCTGTGGAGGATTTGAACTGATTATGTGAGAAATAAATAACAAACAAACAAACAAAACAGATATGAGGCCGATGTTAAAAATGCTTTGTCCTCATGGAAATGCGGCGTCACTGGAAATTATTGCAGCGTGGTGCAAATTAGTTTCCGCGGCTTAAATATATAAACTTGGAGTGGCTTCTCAGCGAGAAGGACTCCGAAATGTAGTTGAAGGAATGAAAGAGAAACTCTGCGGCTGCGATGTTGAGGAGAGAAAGTCGAGGTCAAGGCTTTTCGAGAAACACTCAAACAAGAAAAAAAAAAAACAAGCCCACATCAACAGATGACCCAGTGAAGTCACTCGATGGGCACTCAAAGACCAAAGCACCTCCGGTGTTTTTTTACAAACAGAAAGTCAGGTTGGAAACAGGTTTTCTTTCTCAAACACAAACACCTACCTCGGCTGGCGTCCTCCACATGCTCCAGCTCGTCTGGGAAACCTAGCAAGGATGGATAGTTGTCTTGACACTTTTCCGCCAGAAAGTGGAGAAGGGTTGTGCTTTGTCCGATGGATTTAGTGTCTCTAAGCTGTGAAGGGAGAGAAAAATGTATCAAAAAATATTAAAATATCATAAAACATTTTTTTTTTTACATTGGCCAGTATCAATCGTTACTGTGTACTATCATTGAATTTTCAAAATAAAACATCTTTAAGTCTTTGTTCTGTCACTATCAGGGTCTGAATGACCCATCGTTTTGAAACATTGACAGATTATATTAAAATGAAAAAAGTAAAGGGATATGACGGGATTCTTTTTGAATGAATTAGTAAATTAGTAAATTGAAGTACATTCTTTCACTGTGTCCCCATACCAAATGACCTACGGACTGGCACTGGTCCCTGAACCAGGGGTTGGGGGAACCCCTGCTGTAAAGTCCGATTCTGACGAATGCTCATCAATGGGACAGGAAGGGTGCACTTGTGCGCATGCCTGACCAGATGTCAGAGGTGTGGACTCGAGTCTCATGACTTGGACTCGAGTCAGACTCGAGTCATCAATTTGATGACTTTAGACTCGACTTGACAAAATGTAAAGAGACTTGGAACTCGACTTGGACTTTAACATCAATGACTCGTGACTTCACTTGGACTCGAGCCCTATGACTCGACAAGACTCGATACTTTCTCCAAAACCCAAAGATTATAAAGTAAGTTATTGAGGAGCGCTGTGTATCTCTCATTGTGGCGGCACAACATCCAATCAAATTAGACCCACGTTGTTTTGACGCGATAATATCGAGCGGATCAAATTGCGGGACAACCAATGAGAAAGAGCTGTCGAACAATGCGTGGGTTAGAGAAAATGATACCAAAGATCGTGTTGTTCGGATTTAAAAACTACGAGATGGTCAACAAAAAAACGAGCGGCAGTGAGCGGAGGGACTCGAAAGGACTCGAAACAGAAACGGCAGGACTTGGGACTTGACTTGACCCTTGTCAGTCTTGACTTGGATTCGACTCGGACTTTGCCTATTTTGACTTGAGACTTGATTCGGACTTGAGTGCAAAGACTTGAGACTTGCTTGTGACTTGCAAAGCAATGACTTGGTCCCACCTCTACCAGATGTAGTTCGGCACATCTCTACCAACTGTGCCGTGCCAGGGAAGTGTGCCATATTCTGGTACGTTACACTTTACTTTCAGATACATTACACAAAAATTTGGGACTTCATGGGGCTAAAGCGTTTGGACTCGAAACGAACGCTGAGTGTGAACGCTCCCTCGCAATATTTATTACGTCGCATTAACCTCCAAACTTACTGCATGCACACCCTTTGACCGTGTCCTCCCCGCAATGAGCTACTGTTGATTACTACAGTAACTCTGCAGATGCTAATTTGTTTCTCGAGACCAGTGGATCACTCTTGTAGTGATGAACATAAACAAATATTTTTTTCACCAACTTTTTTCGCCTTGGAGTTTTTTCAGCCTCCACTGGGATGTTTTGGATGAGAATTCTGCAAAGTAAAAATGCCGCAGGAAAACTCCGAAAGCTTCCGATTCTTAGAAATAGTGGACCAAAATGAAGTCTGGAAGAACACGATTAATTGTAATGTATTATTGTTTGGGGTTTGTTTTTTTTTTGTGAATGTATTATTGTTTGGGGTTTGTTTTTGTTTTTTTGTTTTTCTTTACAGAGTTCAGTTTATCTTTAATCCACTTTACTGACATCAGATGAAATCAGCAGTGCGGACAAGTTACACTGCAAGTGAGTGTGTGTGTGCAATGACAGTCTGGGGTATAACAAAAGCCAAATTAAAACTTCAAATCCATGAAATTAAATTGTGATTAACCAACATGAACCACTGATTGATTCTTATCTAATGAAACAAAGTGTTTGTGGGTTCGGGGAGTGAGGCCACAAGTATGACTTTCAGGAAGAGTTTTCACTCCGCTGTCGTGTGCGCGCGTGCAGAGGTGCGTGTGCACGTGTCCAACGGCGGCAGAAGTTTTATCAGTATGGCTGCACAGAGGTGGCTCTGTGCTAATTAGCTTTCCCAGCGTGTCGCTGCGGCGGCGTGGAGATCACAGTGGGAAATAAATATGGAACAAGTTTCCTCCGCTTCTCTGTGTTTGCATCTGAGTGTGTTGGTGTGTGAGTGTGTGTGTCCACTCTTTTCATTCAAACTTTCCGTCACACCGATACACACTGATACTTTTGCTGGAGTACGTTCGTCAGTCACTTTTGTTTCATTGTTGTTATTTTATTTTCCGTTAGAGACGGATAGATCGACATCAATGTTTTGAAACGCATGTGTTTTCCAGCTCGATTCCTGGGAGAGTTTCGGCGTCCTTGACCTGACACAGGCCTGACGGAGAGCAGGTCTACGAGGTCAAGGGTAAGGGTCTTCCTTCCCTCTTCATCAAAGCTCTTTCCCATCATGCTCTTCTTCCTGCTCCTCCCTGATGAGCCCATTAAGTTCCTCAGACCTCCCCCCAAGGGGGGCATTTACCTGATTGACTAAAGAGAGGAAAGCGGACCCCCCCTCCCATCCCTTCCCTGACTCCCTCCTATGTCCATCAATATTAGTCCACAGTGACACTCCAAGCGAACCGATTCAGGAGGAAAAACAGAGTCTCATCGATTTACTGATCTTTCTCACATATCGTACAGCTGTTGGAGTCACCGAGGCAAATTAACGTTATTATTGGGATGTTATAGTCTGTGTAAGAGACAACGATCAACACTTTCGAGACAAAATCTTATACAGTGAAACGATGTCCCGACATACGAGTCTTTCGAGATACGAGCAAGCCCTCGAGCAAATGTTTGCTTCGAGATACGAGAAAAGATTTGAGATACGAGCACGCTTACAGACGCCGACGCTAGGTGGCCGACCACTTTGCGTGTTCGTCGACTTCTTCCGTAGTCTTCCGCATTGTGTTAGCGTTATCTACGTGATTTTCTCTCTCTATTTTGTGCATTGTTCTTCATAATAGTGATGAGTCCTAAGAAAGTGAGTGGTAAGGATGGTAGTGAGAAGAAGAAACACAGGATGACCACGGAAATAAAGCATGGAATTGTCGATCAATATGAGCGTGGTGCCCGCTAAAGAAAGAAAACAAATCGAAAAAAGCAAAAAAATAGTAAAAAAAAATATATACCCGTTAAGATAACTTCATTCTAAGTTTATGTAAGATACGTAGTCTACGTGTAAGCTAGGGTACGGAATCAAGTGTCTACATACGGGCCAACTCTCTTCCCTCCTTCTCCTCCGCACATGCGGCTATTAGCCGCTACTGCATCGTCTGTCTCGAAGGTAAGAACTCGTGTGTTTGTATATTTCTGTCTCATGTCTCTAAACATGATTTTTCCATTGTTATTAGCACTAATAAGGGAGTTTTTTAAAGGGCCGGAACGGACTAATTTTGTTTTCGCTGTTTTAAAGGGCCGGAACGGACTAATTTTTTTTTCCGTTATTTCTTATGGGAGAAAATTATTTGAGATACGAGCACCTCGAGTTACGAGCTCTGTCCTGGAACAGATTGCGCTCATGTCTCGAGGTTCCACTGTGCATCGTACACCTCCCAGGAATATTTTGTGTTTACCTTGCAGAGGAAGCTGAGGTTGAACCCGAACGTCTGCGCGTTTCTGGAGCCCGCGTTCATGTAGTTCCCCACCAGCAGCACCAGTTCCAGGAACTTTGTGAAGTTCTCGCTTTTCTTCAACTCCTCGCAGGCAAAGGTCACGTTCATGATGTCCGGCCGGATGTTGTTTACCTGCTCCTCGAAGGTCAGCTTGAACAGGATGCCGTTCAGACGTGGACGGAGGAGCTTCACTGAGCTCATCTGAGGACATGCAAACAACCAGAAAAATAAAGAGTTGTTTTTTTTCTGTTTTGGTTTTTGTTTTTTCACAGATGGTCTGAGATAACAGGGGAGAGATGACCTGACCTGTCTGCTGAAGTCTGGGGTCGCGGTCAAAGGGTCAGCATAACTGAATGTTATTTTTGAGTCAAACTCAAATGTGTTTTTATCAAATGTTTTCTGTTTTTTAAGAATCCGATCTTTCAGTGTATTTTAAACAGGAAAAATAGCAAACATTTGTTTGTTACTAAACTACCTAATCTGGTTTCTTAAGGTGGTCTTGTCTAATGTTATTCCTTATGAATCAGTCATATCTAGTTTTACCTCAACATATTCTAATCTAATCTAATCTGGCCGAAATCGCCCCATATCCATTCAAGTGTAGTTCAACTTTTCAAAGTCACTAATTCTGCAGCCATTGTATTTTCGTTTTAATTAAAATTACACCATAAATAACTCATTTTAAATATGATTCCATTTTAAATACGAGCAGAAATATACACAGGTACACAAGCATACCATCTGTGGATTTTATCCGTCAAACAAATTTACTTTCAGATCCTCTTTTAGTTTTTTTGTTTTTTTTTTGTTTATACTGTCAATCCCAGTCCCCAAAGGCAGAGACTGAGGCGGTTATTTATTTATGACGGATGTGTTTAATGGGATCAGGTCCATGTGAAAGTCCGCAGAAAAACAGGAAACGGCCTTAATCCCCCTGACTTCATTTTCAGCTCATTAACGACAGGGATTTAAAAAAAAAAAAAAAAAAAAAAAGTGGTAATAGTTGGTTTCAGATTTATTTAGAGGAATGACATTTTATTAAAAATTTAAACTGTAGGAGTGTTTGAGTGTTTTTTTTTAAAGGCACATTCCTCTCAGTTATACTGCCCAGATGTACTGAATTCTCAAAACCAGTTCAAGGAGATATGACTCACCACAACACTGAACTGCTCCGACTCCACCAGTTCTTCATATTCACCCTTCAGTTCGGCCAGAGCACTCAGCTCTTTCTGCTCCGGCAGGTTCTTTATCAGGTTCTACAAAAGGAGGTAGGTTAGGTAAGTTATTCAAATCACTTTACAACATGAAAATGTGAATGACTCCACAGAGAACCACCTGCTTTTACACGTTGTACTGTAAACTAGTAACACAACTGACAAAGGAACGTAGCAGCAACTCCTGTCCAATGCAAAACAGCAACTACCAGGATCAAGGGACAGTACAAGGAACAATCGGATTTCTTCTTCTAGGGATTCTCCGCCTTGATAACACAGGGATTTGTACGTGAGTCCATTACATCGAAATTCCATTCCTGCACGCAACGCAACTCTGTTTTCGCAGTAAGTTCGCAGTCACATACTGTTTCACTCGCCTATGCTAACACAGTGGTGACATCGTAATCTAGGACATGAAAACATCAGAAGAGTCGGATTTATGCCTGGGAGTCAAAATGAAGGGCAAAAGTTCCCAAAAAAAAAAAGAAAACAACAGAAATGAAAGAAAGCAATGGCGTACAACCAGCGAATGTAAACAAAGCAATCATCTGCGTATAGGGCTAACTTGTTGGGCGAGTTTTAGCGCCGCAGAATGATGGAAGAAGATTTAATAAAGTTATGGGAGATAGTGACATAAGTACAAAAGGTCTCGGGTCTTGGACGTCAAATCGACGTAAACCAATAGATTTGACACACGCGGACCTATTTGGCAGTACAGGACTGATGGTGTTTTCCAGGAGTGGAGGAGGACCACAGATTTGCCATTCAAAACCCAATGACCAGGCTGGATGTCTTAGGATTCTGGACCCTGGTCCCTGACCGTACAGACCTCTTCAGCAGTCGTAGTGTCCTGCTCGCTAATGATCGCATCTCCACCCTCTGCTTTAGGAAACTCAGCAGCCCAGTTCCAAAAGACCCCAGACTGCAGCAGACCATTATATCAGAATGTTGCCCATTTTAACTTTGGCTCCAATTAAATTCTGCAGTGAACAGTGGCGCAGTGCTGATAATGAAGCCTTCCATCAGGGAAGAAATATGAGGGAATAAAAGTAAGAATAAGTTTAATTGGTATCATAGATTTGAATCACAAACACCAGACACGTGTTCTCCGTTTTCGGACCAGGACCAGATGTGTTGAAAAATGTGACATAGCTCCACTCGTGGTAGACATTTTCATTAAGGAGTCTACATAATGGCACGGAGGTCATTGTAACTAATGAATTATAATACGAGAAGTTCAGAAAAAAACATGACAAAACTTCACTGCTCGTTCAATAATCTAATACACCATGTCAACCCACGTGATACTAAAAATGCGGCACCAATCGAAGACAAGCCCTGGTCCAGTGTTAATTACAGCAGGACTGCAGCAGCAGTGATGGATCATTAAATCTTAAAGTAAAATGGTGCGACAAAAAATATGGAAATTCATCATTTACAAGAAAAGCATTTCTAAATTAAAACATTCTCTTCAATCACGAGTCTGTCAGTCAAAATGTTTGTCACGAGTTAATTCCTGTTTTGTACCTGTTCTTTTCTTTTAAACGTTTTTCTGTCTACTTTTTTTTTTTTTTTTTATAAATTCACCATTGGCAATCCCCAGTCATTTTTGGTTCAGATCCAGTTCTTTATCTCAACTCTCACTTCCTGTTATCATCTACATTTCAGCTTTAAGATGTCTCACATTGCCAAAGACGTGACAGCAGTGACAGTACAAACGCTGAGATGGACGTTTTTTACACACAAGCCGTGACTATCCGTGACGTAGGTGCGTTTGAAGTCACGGAATTTCATCGTCGGTGAGGTCGCTTTAGGTTACGTCAGACTGTTAAATCCTGTATCTAAAAACTCTTTCCAAGTGCAATTGTCGACATTTGAAGGTTATGGTCCTTTTGTGTCTCTATAACTCCTCACTGTTTTTAATAAAAGGATGGAGAATTCAGTTCAACATCAATCTCTGTGTGAAAAAAATGACGCCAGAATATGCTGGAAAGATCCGCTGCCTGCTATTGGCGCTGAAGTAATTTGGATCCAGATCCCGGGATGTAATGATATTTGGATAAAGCTGTGGATTTGGAGGATTGTGCTGATTCCACCAGGCAGGAGCCAATCTCATTTCATTTTAACTGCCTTAACAACTAATTAAAACCAACATTACTAGAAAAGTAAACCATTGGAAATGACAGGATTTTTTTTTTTTTTTTTGGGAGAGCGGTTAAATTGTCCATATTACCCCATAGCGCCATTGATTTAAAGCCTTTATCATTCTTTTTATCCGAGAATTTGGCAGCTAAAAAAGCCCTGTGACACATGAGTTTCCAATAAAGCAATATTCACTGAATAGGAGAAACTGGCAGTGATGTTGCATTTGATGTGCTGAAAGGAGGTAAAATTATTCCAAAAAAAAACGTCAACATGTCACAGCTGAGTAGAAGTGAAAAATAAGAAGAGAAAGAGGAGGTAATGAAAAATGTTTTCCACCTGGTGTTTATAGTTTCATCTGTCTGTCGTCTTGTTAATTATCAGAAACCCACCGAGCGCGATTGACACAAAGGCAGCGCCATATGTGAGGCGACGTGGGAGTCTGGGTGATGACGCTAGGCCAGAAGCTGCACCACAGGCTAACAGACTCTCACAGCAGCCGCACTGAGACAACTGTACGTCTGCTGTTAACACTTCATACTCGTTTACCGCTGTGGGCTAAAGGGAAGGTTCTTAGATGTCAGCAAAGGTGACAAAAACACAGGAATAACACGGTTTGAAAAAAAGAAAAAAAAAAGTCTGGGAATCAAGAGAAAATGGCCTCAAAATTATGATGAGAGCTCTTTATAAAATACACAGGGCTGTACTCCACTTCTAAACTGGGGTGAACTATCGCTGTACGCTGGAATTGAAGTGCAGTCAAGTAAAATCAAACCATTTGCGCGCAGTTTCTAGGTGCGGACCAGCTTCAAAGATTCCAAACACCTCCGAAATCTAACCACACATCATCTGTGGATGTAGGGTTTCCCCTATGTTCCCCTATTCAATGATGACTTCATGCAATTCCAGGAAGAATCTGTGATGTTAGTATCAGGGCACATGACTGCTAGCTAACGCGATTGGCGGTATTTGTTGCGGTTGTTGCCGCAGAATGAATTCTGGGCCAATTATACGCCTCCCTGATTGTATTTCATGACGGACGAGGATCTGCCCGTTTTCTTTAACCTTGGGGGACACCGTTCATTCTGACACTTCTTATTATTCAACAGTTTTCCTGCTCTGCTGCTATGAACAAACGGTCTGAAGCTACAGCTGTACGTACAGAAATCTTCTCCACAGTCCTATGTTTTTTTTCATTGAGGCCACATTTTCACATCAGGGGTATTGATTTTTTTTTTTTTTGGGGGGGGGGGCTGCAACTCTTCCATGAAAACCATTTCTGGACAGATTTCTTCACACAGAAGATTGGTGTACCGCGGTCCATCTGGCTCGTGTCGACTGCTAACTAATGACACCCTTGGACATCTTTCGATTTCATACGGGACCGCTATATCTGTGATTATCAACGTTGTCCACTTGTGCTTCCTGAATCTGCAATATGTGTATTGCTTTCATATACAGCACCTTGGTATTAAAGTTTGACTGTTCCTCCTCCAGTAATAAGCATTTCACACAGCTCTGTCTCAGTTTCTGGGGATTTAAATAGGAATGCAAAAATAGCTCGGTTTTTATGTTTCTTAGATAAATAATACATTCAGGATAATCCTGATTTTTTTTTACTTAGTTTAGAGGCACAGCCTGAAAGCATGGAGTGCATTATATGAAAAAAATACAGATTTAACATTTGGACGTCCGATTTACCTAGACATGCTGAATAATCTTCAGATGTGAAGGAGACAAACTGCAGCAGTGAAGGGGGCAAATGTTAAAGCAGTAAAGTAATGAGATACAGGTCACGGTTCACTAAATGAGTGTAGAGGAGCAGCAGCAGCAGCAGCAGCAGCAACTGCAGGGTTTAACTTCAGACTTTGATCTTAGCTGATGTCAAGCAGATTCCATTTTAAGTCCACACGTTTGCAGCAGTATGAAAAAAAAAAAAAAAAAAGAAGACAACCCAAGCTAATAGAGTTTGGAACACTGGGATTAAACTTGCTTCAGGCATAAACTTAATCACACAGTCCACGGAGTAATAAATACAGAACGGAACAATAACAATTGAATGGAACAATAATTAGTTCTCTTTCAAGCTGGTGGAATCAGGTTAACTGTGCCATTTTTTTTTTTTTTAAATAGAGCATATTTAATGACCGTAAGTCATATCAAAACAAAAGTTGTTTTAAGGCGTACAGTTGAAATGAGGATACACAGACAGAGGTTGGGTGTTCAGTTGTAAAAAATGAAATTTGTAGTTGAATCTTTAATTTTGCAGTCCCTTCCGAGACTGTACATTAGTGATGTTCGATACCACCAATTTCCTTTCCGAACCGATACCGAGTAAAATTCGGGCTGGTATCTCCGATACCGATACCGATATTTTATCATTTGTCTTTTAAATAAAAAAATGTGTATTTCAAATCATAGCTTCTTTAAGAATCCAAGGCAGAGGTTTTTATTTATTTATTTTAAACTCTGGAGTGTACTGAGGTAGCTGCCTCATTTACTATACAGTCAACACAACAATAGAAAACCTTGAGAACACAATCATATAAAATATGTCAAAACAATGTTTCAAACTCTGAAAACATGTTATTTGTAAAACAAAAATAAATAAAAAAATAAAATAAATAATCTGAGGAGCCATTTGGGACCCGAAAGAGTCGGATTTTTTCAGTGAACCGAGCCAAAAGAACCGGTTCTCCAAAAAAGAGCCGAAATTCCCATCAATAGTGACTGAGTGAGAGCACGGAGTAGAGCCCCTGTGCTTAAGCATGACGCACACACCCAGGCGGAAGAAGAAGTAGTCCCACCAACCGAGCGTCACTTAGACAACATCTCAATAATTTGGATACTTTTCACCATGTTTCTGTTTAGGATACACCTCATCTCAGAATGCGTAAGTA